TGTGTGTGTGTGTGTGTGTGTGCGTGTGTGTGTGTGTGTGTGTGTGTGTGTTTTATATTCAAACACTAATGCTAATAGATACGAAACAATGTGAAGGTCAGGAACGCAGCTGGTAGACTAAGACCTGCTGTTCTATTTTACTTACCTCTGTCTTTCCTATTTAGTATTCAAAGGGGCTTTCCGCAGAAGGTAAGCTCATGGCTCTCAATAGTTCCCAGTTAATTTTGTCATCCTCATCAAAACCAAAGAGGCTCTGATACTTGCTGTCAATTTGAAACACTCCAGGGCGATCGATTCTCTGATTAGTTCAGTGTTTTAAGCCAACCTTTCCTTTTGAGGACCTGCAATCTACTGGACAGGCTCATTACACTGTTCTGCAGGGACATTTTTTTCCTCCTTAAGAATGGGGAAGAGAGCCGGGCGGTGGTGGCGCACGCCTTTAATCCCAGCACTTGGGAGGCAGAGGCAGGCGGATTTCTGAGTTCGAGAGTTCGAGGCTAGCCTGGTCTACAGAGTGAGTTCCAGGACAGTCAGGGCTACACAGAGAAACCCTGTCTCAAAAAACCAAAAAAAAAAAAAAAAAGAATGGGGAAGAGAGCCAGGCGGTGGTGGCGCATGCCTTTAATCCCAGCACTTGGGAGGCAGAGGCAGGCAGATTTCTGAGTTCAAGAGTTCGAGGCTAGCCTGGTCTACAGAGTGAGTTCCAGGACAGCCAGGGCTACACAGAGAAACCCTGTCTCAAAAACAAAAACAAAAACAAACAAACAAACAAACAGAATGGGGGATTGAAATTATCTCCAGTAAAGGGACAAAGTAGCAGGTTCTGCCCCTTCTGAAAAGGAAAGCCCATAGCCCTGGGGCAAGGAGGAAAGTTTACATTTAAAAAACACTAACTTGGGAGGTAGACTCATTGCTAGTTTGGACCAGCAGATTTAGCAAGAATGTAGTTAATTGGTTCAGGTAGCTATCTTCCCGAAGGCAGGAAGCTTGATAGATTTGTTGTTGTTTTTCTTTTTTGTTTTCTAACACAAGTGGAGTTTCCATTTGAATCAGAAGTCTGGTACTCTCAGTACTTTTTCCTCTAAGCTCTATCAGTAGTGATGGTTTACGTTTCAGAGCTTCAGTTTTGTGCAAGGTAGTGCTGTGAGTCCACTAGGTAAGCCTAAATTATAAAGTTTCATCATCATCATCATCGTTGTCGTCTTTGTTTTTCTGTGACTAGGATTCTCTGCATAGCCCTGGCTATCCTGGAACTCACTCTGTAGACCAGGCTGGCCTCAAACTCAGAGATCTGCCTGCCTCTGCTTCCTGAGTGAGTGCTGGGATTAAAGGTATGCACCTTTATAATGTGTGAAGGAAACAGAGGTTAGGGCTAAAAAAATTAGGCTCAAGTATAGTTATCTGCCTTGAAAGAAAGTCATGCTTCTCCTATTAGTACACTGTTTCTTTTTGATGTTACTGGCAATATTATTACTATGAATGAGAGTCAAAAGGTATAGTGTTAAACATTGACATTCAGACTGTATAAGTAATGAAACAAAAAAAAATTGTTTAGCCGGGCAGTGGTGGCACACACCTTTGATCCCAGCACTTGGGAGGCAGAGGCAGGCAGATTTCTGAGTTCGAGGCCAACCTGGTCTACAGAGTGAGTTCCAGGACAGCCAGGGCTACACAGAGAAACTCTGTCTCTAAAAACAAAACAAAACAAAAAACAAAACGAAACAAATAGATTGTACAAATATTATTTTAATTTATTGTTGGGAAAACCAATGCTTGATTCATTGTGTAAGTAGTAAGTAGCGACACCATTATTTCTACCCAGTTTTCTTAGTGCTATGGCTCAGATGTACAAACAATATTTTCTACTGCATGTAGCTCTCAGAGCACAGTATCTGACAGAGTTTCAGGCCAGTCGTCGTTACTGGGCTTCTCCTGTCGTCACTGGCTTCTCCAGTAACAGTTGCTTGCATGTAAGAACATAGGAGAGTTTCTAGCAGTTTCCTCCTGCACGTTTTTTAGTGTTTTCTCCTCTTTGATCTTAAGGCTCGAGGGAAAAGAAGAGCAATTCACTTTAAAGTGTGGTTAGGAGTTCTCTTTTTCAAAGACAGTTCTGGCATTAACTGGCAATACTGGAAGCTGAGTGGATGGCATCTGAACATAGTATTGACTAAATTGTCTCCCTGTCTTTCTTTCTTGGCTCAGGAAACACACTTATTCACCAGACGCTTTCTGCTCTTTTAAAATGTAAAGACCCTAAAGTTACCTTTATTTTTGTAGAGTTTCACGTTTAGTGATAAGTTTACTAAGGCCTTTAAAAATTAGTAAGTGCAACATGACAGGCCTCTAAGTCAGCACAGCTTTTCATGTTTCTTACTCTAAATTTCTTACTTTAGTGAACTTGGAGCTGATTAACTTTTATAGGTGAACAGTATTATGACCAAGGAGATAACCTAGTTTATAAAGTGAGTCACTGATGCTTATATACTGGTGTCAAGTCTTGAGCCATCATGGTCTGTTTCCCCTGGAATGCAGTATGTAGCTGCTTGTCATGTTTCCCCTCCATGACATATGGAAACCCTAACTAGGGATGTCTACTATGTCCAGTTTTTCAGGGGAGGTGGGGTTGTTTCCTTTATGTTTTTATTGAAGGGAGAAAATTCTATGGAGAGGTAAAACAACTGAGAATGGATACAGCTGGTATTCAAGTCATGGGATAACTTGGCAAAATTTGATTGAGACAAGTATGGTGCCTCACACTTGGGAATCCCAGCACACTGGATACTGAGACAGGAGGACTGCCATGAGTTAGAGGTCAGTCTGGACTACACAGTGAGTTCCGGGCTAGTGTGAGAGCCTGGAACAAAAAGAAAAACCAACACACAAAACAGGAGTGATCACATAGTCTATTACATATTACATCACACATGTTATTAGCTGAGAAACTCTTGGTATCTGATAACTTCTAGGAAAGGAAGGCTCACTTTTCTTACACGGAGTAATCACTATCTATTCCAGGCTAAGCCCCAAACCTAAGAGTAGTTGTCTAACACAAACTGACCTGGATGGGAGGGGGGCATAAAGAGAGAGACGATAGAGAGAAAAGAGAAGAGAAAGAGAGGAAGAGAGAGAGAGAGAGAGAGAGGGAGAGAGAGAGAGAGGGAGAGAGAGAGAGAGAGAGAGAGAGAGAGAACATGATGTTGGGTGGGTAGGAAGGGAGTGACTGAGGATGGACCTAGTAGTTGCGGAAGAGAGAGTTGATTGTGTGGAATTCTCAAGCAAGTAATAAACTAATATTAAAACAAAACAGGACTGGTGATGTGATTATAGCAAGTAAAGGCACCTGTCACCCAGCCTAATGATCTGAGTTCATCTGCAGAACTCACATGGAAGACGCAGAGAACTAACTCCTGTAAGTTGTCCTCTGGCCACCACATGGATGCTGCTGCACACAAACATGCACAGGCAATACTTACAATAAACATGTTAAAAAAACAAACCACGACTCATACAGGCAAGCAAGCAAAACCAAAACAACCTGTCTACAAGTTTACTTCAGACAGAATTTCAGTTAGATGGAGGTAATTACAAGAAATGCTTGGTATTTAAAAATGTCCACATTTCACTGTTATTTGATAGCCATTTTACGAATTCACTTAGTCTTCAAAGTCTTTGTTAAGTATCAATAAATCTTTAGCTCAGAGAAGAAGTGTCCCTTATAGTAAGAATAGTTAATTATCTAATAGAGCTTTTTATGATGTCTATCTAGCTGGGTGTGGTGGCACATACCCTTGATCCCAGTACTTGGGAGGCAGAAGCAGACAGATCTCAATGAGTTTGAGGCCAGCCTGGTCTACAAAGCAAGCCCAGGACAGCCAGGACTACACAGAGAAATGCTGTCACCATGTCTTGAAAAACAAAACAAAGAAACAAAAAAGACTTCTGACTTCTTGTTAATACAATTAATGTGGCTTACTGTTCCCAGAGTCAGGTTCTCAGATTTTTGGGATTGTGGTTTTTTTTTTCCCATTCTTTCTTTTATCTATTTTTCTTTTTGATTTTTTTGATTTGTTTTTGGAAACAAGGTTTCTCTATGTGTAACCCTGGCTGTCCTGGAACTTGTTCTGTAGACCAGACTGACTCGAACTCAAGAGATCCACCTGTCTCTGCCTCCTGAATGCTGGGAGTCAAGGTGTGCACCACCACTGCCCTGCTCGAATTACTTTACAAAATAACGTTTTATTTAATATTTTGGAGACTAAATGAGGTCTTTTACTGGGGGTAAGGCATATGAGAGTTAGGTTGTGCAATTCAGATTGCCTGGCAATCTTGAGGCTTTAGTGGAGGAACAGGTGCTAGATATTATTTATAGAAGTATTCTAACATTTAGTAAGAATTTGTACTGTGGATACAAAGAATAGCATTTAGATAACTTTTATGAACTTAAACAATTACTTTGTTTTTTTTTTTTTTTTTCTTGGAGACAGGGTCCCCTCAGGTAGCACAAGCTGTGCAGAATTCAGTATGTAGTCTAGCTCCAACTCATGGCTGTTTCCTGCTTCAGCCTCCCAAGTGCTAGTATTATAGGTGTGAGTCACTACACTTAGCATTATTCTAATCTTTATATGTGTGAATCAAATTATTTTTATTTGCACAAGTATGAAGACGTATACAGTACAGACTGTCCAATTTTCTAAAAGAGAATACTAGTTTGTGTTATTGACTGTACACCAGCATAAATCTTTGAAATCATGTGGATGTTTCCAAACAAAACAAGAATTTATCTTCCTAATATGATATGGTTCCTTGTAAAATGTAATTAGGCAAGAGGTGTATAACTTAAAAGCATCTGTTCTCTCATTCGAAGTTACTGAGCTGCTTCACCTAAGGTTATGATGGAACTGTAGAGGCTGGAACGGAGAACTCGCTTCCGGAACGTTTGTGTTGCAGCGCCTGGCTTCCAGCCGGTGCTCTTTTGCGAAGGACCATTCCGGCCAAGTGCCTGTTGGTAGGAGCCTTGTTGACGTCTGGTCTAGGGGTTCTGGTAGGTGACAGTGACTGAAGCCGGCGTTGGGGGGTAAAACCCAAAGCTGAGGAATCGCCATGGACGACCAGGGCTGCCCCAGGTGTAAGACCACCAAATACCGGAACCCTTCTTTGAAGCTGATGGTGAACGTGTGCGGACACACTTTGTGAGTCTGGCGGCGGTGGATTCCTGGGGTGGGAGGACAGCCCTGGGAGATGCTAGGAGGCCGCTTTAGGGGGAATAAAGGGTGTGGCTAGTTTAAACAATGGGGGCGGGGAATGCAAAAAGAGAGCGTCGTTTCTTTAAAAGGAATGTAGCAGCTTGCGGCGAGCTTCTCCGGCCTACTTTGAAATTAGAGTTTTGATTGTGGCAAGCAGAAGTTTGGCAGGTTGACCCTCATCTACCTTTTCAGCCAGTGAAAATGATTCCAGTCCATGTGTTGTTAGCTAGACTCCAGACAGATGTCTGTCTGAAAGCGTGAGGGATTGGAGTCTTTAATTTCTTAAGAAATGCTTTTTATTGAAAAGAGAAATGAAAACTTGCTTTGGGTGTATACTGTTGCTATTGATTGAGTGAACTAGTTGGAAAGCCTTTTGTGTATACGTGTCCTGATGAATTATGTTAGACTTAAATCATGTAAAGGAAGAAAATACAGACTCTAGGCAGTTATTTTGTAGATAGGTAATGGTTGGCTTTTATTGAGTGCACATTGGTTCCAGGCAGTGTAGTGCCACGAACCATCTCATGATAAGCTTATGCAGGTATCATTTTCCTCATCACCTCAGGACTGTGGGTGTTAAGAGTATGGATCCCGCAGGGCAGTAGTGATACACGCCTTTAATCCCAGCATTTGGGAGGCAGAGGCAGGTGATTTCTGAGTTTGAGGCCAGCCTGGTCTACAGAGTGAGTTCCAGGACAGCCAGGGCTACACAGAGAAACTCTCTCAAAAAAGCAAAAAAAAAAAAAAAAAAAAAAACCAAAAAACAAACAAACAAAAAACCCCACCAAAACAAAAACCAAACCAAAACAAAAAACCAAAAAAAGGCAAAAAAAAAAAAAAACCCAAAAAACAAAAAAACCAAAACAAAACCCATTAAGAGTATGGATCCCAGGAACCAGTTTTAGGAAGTAAGTGCATTTTGCTTGCTCAGTGGTGGAAGGAGGGAGAATGATTTTGTGTATTTTGAAGTATAAATGCAGACTTTTGGTCAAAGTGTTTATCAGAAGTAGTTTAAGTAAAAGGTAGTCTGAAGCTAAAAGTACTGTAAAGTTGTGAGCACAAATATTCCCATAGTTCCAATCTTAACAGAAGGTAAAGGTAAATTACAATGTGGTAGACAAGGTCTTCAGGCATAAATTGCACAATGAATTGTATATATAATTGTCATAATGGGATTATTAATTTCCTTAATTGGTCTCTTCCTAATTAACCTTTATTTTGCTTTAGACAGTATAACTGTGACTGAATGTTGAAGATTAAAAATCCAGTAAAGGTAGTCAGCCGGAATGCATGAACAGTGGCAGTGAGGGAATAAATACTGTTGGTATATAATTAGGTACTTGTTAAGTCTGGGCCTCAAGTGTTAAGTCTAGGCTGGCCCTGAACTTTAGATTCTTCTGCCTAAAAGTGTTGGAATTTCAGGTGTGTACTACCATGACTAGCAGACTGTTTAGGTTTTTAGAGAAGTTTTACACAATATCCATTTGTGTCACTTTTTTTTAGCTCTGAAAAAAAAACATACCACATATTGAGATCATATTCACCTTCGTCCCCTCTGTATTCTCCTTCCATGCCCTTTGAACTTCATCCCAAATTCTCCGCCAGTGGCTGCGCCATTGGAAAATGTTCTCTCTCACCCTGTCTGTCTGTGATAGAATGTTGAAGGGCAGATGCGTATTGTTGTGGTATGCACTGGATGGCTGTTTAATGGCACCCCCTCTCATTTCTGGCTTTTAACATTCTTTTTGCCAGCCCCCAAAGCCCCTCCCCCACCCCGTGCGTATGTGTGTGTCTGTCTGTCTGTCTGTCTGTCTGTCTGTGTCTGTGATGTAGCTGTCCCATTTCTTTTGTTCTGGATTATTGTAGTGATGGAGTTGTCCTGTCTAAGAGTCTGAATTCTTTGCTTACTGAATAGTCTCTTTGGCTTTGGCTACTGTATTTCTTTGTCCTCTGTGTTAAATCAAAATGATTAGGTATGTTGAGTTTTATCATATTTACATTTCCTTAGTATAGTTGTTGGTGAGAATAATTAGTAAGCAATGTTTATTTATTTTAAGTAATATATAGTAATGTGCAAATTAGGAAAAAACACCCTGTTTGGGCAGAAAAATTTGGAGAAGGCACTCATCCTTGAGGGTTGCTTGAAAACTTGAGTCATTGTGAATTTCAACCACATGAACTTCTCCACACTTACTCTCTTCCTATTTAGTAAAGCAAAACTGATGTGCCTTTTAAAGACTTGCTTGTTTATGTGTATGGATGTTCGCATGTATGCCATCAGAGGCTAGAAGAGGACACTGGATCCCCTAGGACTGTGGTTATAGATGGTTGTGGGTTGTCTTGTGAATGGTAGGAATTGAACTGGAGTCCTCTAGAACAGTGGCAAGTGTTCTTAATCTCTGAGCTGTCTCTCCAGACCTTATTATCACTGTTTTCTTTTTTTCTTTTTGAGACAGTGTTTTGATACATAGCCTAGGTGTGGCCTAGGCAAACCTTGAACTTTTGATATCCCTGCCTTAGTTTCAGTGTGTGCGCTCGTGCCTATGAGTGTTGGCATATGCATGGAGGCCAAATGGGGATGCTGTGTCGTACTGTATCACTTTCTGCTTTATTCCTTTGAGACAGTTTCTGGTTAAACCTGGCACTAGCATCTGTCTCTCATAGTGCTGGGGTTACTGGCACTTGAGGCCGTGCCCAGCTTTTTTATGTGGGTACAACTATCTGGGTTCAGGTTTTCTGTTTGCACAGCAAGTGTTCTTACCCACTGAGCTGTCACTCCAGCACCGCTCTCCCCACTTTCTTTTCCTTTTTTTTGAGACAGAATTTTTAACTCAGGTTGGCCTTGAACTAGGTAAGTAGCCTAGTCTGTCTGGGAGGGACCTTTGGTATCAGAGAGTTTCATAAGGTTTTTGTCTTTATTGACACCTTTTAGTACTTCTTTTCTAGAAAGTTTTGTTATCAAATTTATGCCCCAACATTCAAACATATAACAGGAACCTGTATGTTAAACCTTAAGGATTATTCGTTAAGATGCAAATTTTATTCTGTAAGAGCCAGAAATGATAGCATATTAATTGCCTAGTGCTTTATAAGTATAAACAGAAACAGAATTAGTTTTCTCATAACTTTTTAAAAAGAGGGCATGAAGTATATCTTACAGATATTGATAGCTCTCTTGACTCTCAATCATAGATTGGCCATTTAATGTGTAAATTTAGTGAAAATTTGTCATTCACTGTGAGGGATAGTTCAAGTAAATTTAAGAATCAATTTAGTCTTCCCTATGAAAAGATATTACCAATATTCTAAATGAAAAACCAATTTTTTGGGCCAGCAATATAGTCAGCCTGAGTTTAATTCCTGGGACCTACTTAACGGGAGGAGGAAAGCCAGCTCCTCAGCTTGTCCTCTCATCTCAGAGACGCTCTTCTTCTACAAGTAAGTAAACATATGTGATGAAAATGCTGGGTTCGGTTAAGTTTTAGGAGTCTGTCAGTTTGCTTCCTAATTTACTTAGCAAATAGAACCTAAGATAGTGTATAGAATGAGAATAATTTAGTGAGAATTAAGCCTGGATATAGTAACAGTTTGACTCATGTTTTTAATGTGTTAAGTCTCCTTTCAAGGACAAGAAAGCAAGGCTCAACAATAATTTATTAGTTATTGCTCTTTAGTAATTGATATTTTTGCAATTTTCCTTTTACACTCAATAAAATTTCTAAGTTGTTGATTCCCAGACTTGCCTCGTACTAAAGAATCAGCTGGGATGTCTATTTAATTTTTTTTATTTATTTTTATTTTTTATTTTTTTTACTTTTTTGAGACAGGGTTTCTCTGTGTAGCCCTGGCTGTCCTGGAACTCACTCTGTAGACCAGGCTGGCCTCGAACTCAGAAATGTGCCTGCCTCTGCCTCCCAAGTGCTGGGACTAAAGGCGTGCGCCACCACTGCCCGGCTCTGCATGTACTTTAAATAAAGTACAAATTTCAAGGCCCTATTAATAATTTTATTTGGGTTGGGGTAAGACTTTATCTCATCCCCATATCTTATCCTTATAAGTACTGTATACTACTTATCTAGGTGAACCTTGTGCTCAGTCTTGAAACAATAATGGGGTAGTCATATAACAAAGAATTTGACAGAAATGGTATCTGCCCTCCTCCACTTGTTTTTAGCTCTTTTGAGTGACTCAAAAGAAATTAGTTTGTATTTTTATAAGGAAGAAAAGGAGAATCTAGTTATAAAATTTATAATTTAGGTATGAAAGTAGTTTTATGTTATTTTTTAAAAAATAATCTACTTGTTAAAAAGTACTATTTGTTTAAAAAAAAAAAGGAACAGAAAATTGCCAGGTGTGGTACACGCCTTTAACCCTAGCACTTGGGAGGCAGAGACAGAAACTGACAATTTCTATGAATATTTTTATTTCTGCATACAGGATATCTCTGTGTAGTCTTGGCTGCACTGGCCTTGAACTCAGAGATCAGCCTGCCTCTGCCTCTCAAGTGCTGGGATTAACAGCATGTGCCACCAGTACACTTGATCTGATCTGATTTATGTAAGTTTGAGGCCAGTCTGGTCTATCTGAAGAATTCTGGACTAGCCAGGACTACATAGTGAGACCCAAGGAGGAGGAGAAGGAAGAGAAGGGCGGATAAGGGGAAGGAGAGGAGGAAGAAGAGAAGGGGGAGGAACAGGGAAAAAGAAGAAGAGGAGGAGGGAGAGGAGGAGCAGAAGGAGGAAACAAAAGCTTGAAATCTGCAACAAGGGCCTTTGGTTAGTGGATACATCTTAGACTGATGAGAGATAGCACCAGGGGAACAAAATGTTTGGTTGGCTTCAAATGCATCAATGACGTATAGCTTAGCATTGGAGAGGGAAGAGCCTCTTAGGAAAGTGTGATCTGGCTCTTGGGCTTAGGAAACATGCACGAAGTACAGGTTACAT